GTATTGCTGTAGTACTTAGTGCTATTTTATTTGGCGCGTATTTGTTGTAGTACTTGATGCTATTATTTGTGCTGTATTCATGTAGTAGCTTGATATATATTTTGTGGGCTGTATTTGTTGTTGTAGCTTGTGGCTATTATTTGTGCCTTATTGTGTTGTTGTAGCCTTTGATGCCTATGGAATCTATCTCATGGTGCTGTTACTTTTCTGTCCTTATGTTAGATTGGTCTACTTATTGTGTGGGCTGCTATTTGCTGTTCTATAATGCTGCCTGGTACTACACCAGTGAATAAAGCAGCGCCTCATGCTGTGAAGAGTGGCGCCCCGCATGGCTTCTTCTTCCGGCGCTGCTGCGCTGTTTGCTGGCATTGCGGCGTCGGTTTTTCCTCGCAGTCATCTGTAACGGCGGAACGCACGAATGACGCTCAGGCAGCCGACGAAATCAAGAAAATAACTACCGCACTTAAAGGAATATACTTATAAACGAAATTGATTTCATTAAAGTAATAAAATATGTTAATATATATATATATTTTTTTTAGACTAATTATTATAGACATAGTAAAAACAAGGGGCGAATATATAACGTGGGATAATAATACTTTATATAACTTAATTCTAAATAATTATGCATATGTAAAATAAATACATATATAAGTGTACATAATGTTACGCGGACGTGTCAAAATTTCTTAATTATTCTTGTAAATTATAAGATAATAAAAAAACAAAATGCCCGCGCCGTGTGTGTCCACCGGTCCGGGGTTCCTTGGGCAGCAGTCTGGAGCAGCGATCTACAGCGGAGAGACCCGCAAGAACTGAAGACGCAACAACAAACACACACAAAAGAAACACATCAATTGCACGAAATTACCGTTGCCTTGAAGATTGTAGTCGTGTGTGGCTCGCGTCAGTTGGTGTATAGTGTTTGTGTTGCAGTAATGCGGCCGTTTGATGTATTACCGACCAACATGCAAGCAAACTCGCATCATAATAGTAGAGCGGCTTCTGTTGGTTTGATAATTATTCTCGCGAATATGGCTAAGCGGGGAGTGACCTCGCTGTTTGTTAGCTGCTATCTGACATAGTGCAGATGCGCATTTGTAATGAATTAGCTGCTTGAGGTCGTTCCGTCCCGCGTCCGTGCGTCGTGCGCCTCCGTCGCCGTCTGTGCGTTCACGTTAGTTGGGCAAGTAAAATTTCTTAAGCCGCTCGACGTACGGTCACGATATCGGCGACGTCGGGGGGTGGATCGTCAAAACCGAGTTTGGGCTGTCGAAGCTGGGGGTCAAAAGGTCACAAGGTCCAAGAGGTGTAAAAGAAGGGGGCAACAATTCACCCTTAACTAGGTCAGTAAGGGAGGAATATGCATAATTCGGGATCAATTAAGACGGCTTCGACCTGAGGTTCGTGATAGTCGTGTATAGCATCATGGTAGGCAAAAGCCATGACTGTTGCCTAAATTGGAGGTCACACGGTCAAGGCAATGGGCGACAGGGCGCCGATTTAGACATTTTCTGCGACTGGTCTGACGGAGCGGATTGAAACAACTTTTTTTGTTTCGCGTGACCTAGGCATTTTTATGCTTTATTGAAAAGGAGCCATGAAATGTCGCTTCTGCTGACATGGCGAGGAAGAGTAGTGTCGGATAACTTTTGACGCTCAAGAGGAGGGTTAAACCCATGGATTTGGTTTACGTGTACATAAAAGGACGTGGAAGCTGCTTTTGCTATTAAGCGCCCCCTCCGTTCACGCCTGCTCCCTTTCCCCTCCCCACCCCCGTCCCCCCACGGGCTTCCCCACCCGCCTCCCCCTACCCCTCCCCCTCCCGCCTACTCAAGAGCGAGGTTAAACATGGATTTGTTGACTGTCTGTTAGATAAGAATTTGACTGGGCCGGGTTGTCAGTAGAATCTATACATGCCTGGATTGTATGAGGCTACACATGTCACAGTAGAAATGTCCAAAAGCTAATTGGTTAAAGAAAGGGTGATATAGTTCCTTAAATGCGTAATAATTCTATGTCATTGCTGGTACTGGTCCAGTATGTTAGTGTCACGCGTATGCCACGCTGCGATGGCTGTGCATGTGTTGGGGCAGTCTTTTGCCTGCATTAATTGGTTACAGGTGGGCAGCTCTCTATTGCAATTTGCAGCCTGTAGGCTTGCGTAGGTAAGATGATGCTTACGCTAGATTTGTCTTGCAAATAGTTGTTGCTACTGGAATGGATGGAGCTCCATCTTTAATCCTGAAGACACTTAAACGTACACGCCATCGTCGTGCAACTTTCATAACGATCGCCACCGACATCTTTTTGAGAAGGTTGCCTGATACCATCTCTGTGCATTTCCACTATTTCGGGCGTGTATGTGAACACATTGGGGACTAACCGGAGGGTTTACTAGAATCCCACAACTTGCCACCACAGAGTCACGCGGAGTCAGACGTTAGATGAGCGCTTGTCGCTGATGCGGCACTTGCTTTTAATTATTTCCGAATGATGGCAGCGGGAGGTGGAATTAGTAGTCGCACTTTATGTAGAGGGTGTTGAAGCTTACCCGTACAGCACGTGGATAGGCGACTCAGCATACGAATCAGATGATATAGCGGCTTCAATTACAGTCCGATGCCGCGGTAGCTACGCGTTAGATGTTGTAAGATAATGAGACGCAGACTAATGAAACACAGCCTAGTTATCTAAGAGAGATTCAGCGTCCAGCAAACAAGCTTAAACAGGTCGACCCGTGAGAAGGTTGGAGAATTAGGCTCTCTGAATAATAATAATAAGAAGAAGAAGAAGTATAAATAAGTGTGTGTGTGTCGTGCTGTGCGTGCGTGCGTGTGCGTGCGTGATGCGATGTGGGCGTGTGCGTGTGCGTGTGCGGTGTGCGTGTGGCGTGTGGCGCGCGCATGTGTGGTGCGGTGCGTTGGCAGCGCGCGCGTTGGCGTGTGCGTGTGTGCGTGTCTATGGCCGTGCGCGAGTCGCGCGTGCGCGTGCGCGTGCAGTGTTTACGTGCTTGCGTGTGTACATGCGGTTTGGCAATGCCTGCGCGTGTGCGCGTGTATCGTATGTGTTGTAGAGAGAGAGAGAGCGACGGGGCTTCCTTTTTAGCTCATCTGACATAGTCAGATGGCGCTTGTAGAATCGCATGATCGTCCGGGCGTCCGTCGTCGCGTCCGTCGCGTGCGCGTCACAGTTGGGCAGGCAAATGTTAACCGCTCGACGTAGCGGTCAGATATTCGCCACATCGGGGGGATCGTCAAAACGAGTTGGAATGTCGAAGCTGGGGTCAAAGGTCAAAGGTCAAGAGGTGTAAAAGAAGGGGAACATTCACTCCTTAATTAAGGTATAGGGAGGGAAATGCAGATTGCGGCACAAATCTAAACGGCTCGACCTAGGGCTCGTGATAGTCGGTGTATAGCATCATGGTAGGGAAAAGCCATCACTGTGCCGAAAATTGAAGGTCACAGGTCAAAGGTCAGTGGGCACAGGGCAGATTTTAGAGCATTTTCTTGAGGACATGGTCTGACGGAGGCGATTGAAAAACTTTTTTGTTTCAGCGGTGACCTAGCATTTTTTATGGCTTTATTGAAAGGACCATGAAATGTCCCTTCTGCTGACATGCGAGAGTAAGTGTCGGATAACGCTTTTGACCTCAAGAGAGGGTTAAAACATGGATTTGTTTACTGTCAACAAAGGACTGAACTGCTTTGCTAGTAGAATCCCTCGCCCCACCCCTCCCCCTTCCCTCCCGCACGCCCTCGCCCCACCCCTTCCCCCACCCCTCGGTCACCCCACCCTCCCCTACCCTCCATCTGCGATAGTGGTGCGTGTCCTAACCATGATGTGTATCGCAACTGCGTGTCTGCATACTGCGCGCCTAACAAATGTGGTACTACGCACGACTGGAAATTTTACGTTTATAATCGTAGCAACAGACTCAGATGAGCCCAGACGCTCTGCGGCTCTTTGTTATCAATTAAGCTGCGTTTCAGATCGAAAGCCCTACGAGGCTTCATGATTAACATTATATTACCTTTTATGTTTTTCTCGGCGTCAACACACGTACGCATCGCCTAGTTCGGGTTACCCCCCCCCCCCGATGCATAACATGCATACGGCATGGCATACCCTCAACTAATATCCTTGTGCAGAAGAAACTCGTTCATTCCTGGATTATATTGCATTGCGGTGTCCGTGCGTGCGAGCAAGCGTGCGTGCGTGCGAGCGTGGCTGCGTGCGAGCGTGCGTGTGTGCGAAGCTGTGCGTGGCGTGCGGTGTTCGAGCGTGCGTGCGTGGCGTGCGTGCGTACCGCGCCCGTCTACCCTAATGCCTAACCTATACTATGCTTGTGCCATCCCTATAAAGATCGCTCGAGTAGTTGGCAGAGGCGTATAGAATGAAGTGCTGAATCATTAATATAATGAATAAATATGAATAATAAGAATGAATATCAGATATATACGTACTCATTCGGGCGTGTATTCTCTCGCTGTGTTTTTAGCACACAACCAACTGCTACAGCGACAGAACATTGAGACAGGCGGAACAGTGCGACACACGTGGCGAGAACTCTGAAGCCTTGCTTGCCTGGCTGAAGTCAAACCTGTGAGTTATCGCTATCGCGCGTTAAGGTTAGGGTTAGGGTTAGGGTTTTGGGTTAGGGTAATGTTTGAGGGTTGGGGTTAGCGATAGGGTTAGGGATAGTTCTATGGTTAGGATTAGGGTTATATTTAAAGTTATAGTTAGGGTTTAGAATTGTAGTTAGAATTAGGTTAGGGTTAGGATTTGTGTTTAGGGTTAGGGTTAGATGTAGGGGTAGAGTTAGAGTTATGAGTTAGCGGGTAAGATTAGGATTAGGGTC